AAAATAACATTTGAATAAAAAGGTCTTCGCCTGGCGCCGAAAAACAAATAACGACGGCGCCAGGCGGACCTCTCTGGGGAGCACATTCCATAGATTGGGCGCCACCACAGAGAAAGCCCTCCTCCAAGTACTTACCCTCCTAATTTCCTTCACAGAGGGTTCCCGGAGAAGGGCCTCTCCCGCTGATCTCAAGGGGCAGGCGGGCATATATGGACGTAAGCGCTCCTTCAGGTAACCAGGACACAAGCCATTAAGGGCTTTATAGGTCATAACCAACACCTTGAATTGGGCCCAGACTTCAATGGGAAGCTAGTGAAGCTGACGGAGAACTGGAGTCATGTGAACATAATGCCCAGTCCCCGTCAGCAGCCTGGCAGCTCTATTTTGAACCAACTGAAGTATCTGGACCGTCTTCAAGGGCAGCCCCACGTAGAGCGCATTACAGAAGTCAAGTCAGGAAGTCACCAACGCATGTGTCACTGTCGCCAGGCAGTCGTTCTCCAGGTAGGGGCGCAGCTGATGGATCAGCCGAAGCTGAAAGAGCGCTCCTCGCCACTGCTGTCACCTGAGCTTCCAGTGAAAGCTCTGGGTCGAGGAGCACTCCCAAGCTGCAGACCTTGTCCCTAAGAGGGAGTGCAACCCCATTCAGGACTAGGTTCAATTCACTTTCCCCGAGGCCCGATCCGCCAACCAACAGAACCTCCCTCTTGTCTGGATTGAGCTTCAGTTTATTGGCCCTCATCCAGCCCATTAATTCGGCCAGGCACCAGTTCAGCACAGCCACTGCCTCACCTGGATTGGTGGAGAACGAGACGTAGAGCTGGGTATCATCAGCGTACTGATGATTCCACAGCCCACACCTCCTGATGACCTCTCCCAGCGGTTTCATGTAGATGTTAAACAGCAAAGGGGACAAAATGGACCCCTGTGGAACTCCATGGCATAGCTGCCATGGCGCAGAGCCATAGACCCCCAGCACCACCTTCTGGAATCGGCCATTGAGATAGGAGTGGAACCACTGCAAAGCAGTGCCTCCGACCCCCAATCCCGCTAGCCTATCCAGGAGGATATCATGGTCGATGGTATCAAAAGCCACTGAGAGGTCCAGAAGAACCAACAGAGATGCACTCCCCCGTCCTTCTCCCTGCACAGGTCATCGTACAGGACGACCAAGACAGATTCAGTACCATACCCGGGTCTGAAGCTGGTCTGACATGGTCCAGATAATCAGTTTCATCCAAGAGTGCTTGGAGTTGTTCTGCCACCACCCGCTCCAACACCTTGCCCAGAAATGGGATGTTGGCCACTGGTCTATAATTAGTAGCCATCTCTGGATCCAGTGACGCTTTCTTCAGGACCGGTCAGACTACTGCCTCCTTTAAAGGGGCAGGTACCCGACCCTCCCTCAGAGAGGCGTTAACCACTTCCAAGATCCAGGTCCCAATCCCATGCTTGGCTTTGTTTATTAACCAAGATGGGCAAGGGTCCAATAGGCAAGTGGTGGGATGTACTCGTCCAAGCACCTTGTCCACATCATCAGGCCACAATAACTGAAATTCATCCATTAATTTTGGACCAGACGGTGATATTGGTATCTCCCCAGAAGCCTCTGAATCACTAGTAGAGTCTAGTTCGTGACGAATCTGAGCATTTTCTCCCTGAAATGCTTGGCAAAGTCGTCACAGCGGGCCTTCGAGGGTGGAACCAGATCTTTCTTAGGGCCAGGACGGACCAGCCCTTGTACCAACCGAAAAAGCTCTGCCGGGCGGCATTTTGAGGAGGCAATGGAAACGGAGAAGAATTTCTTTTTTCGCCGCCCTCACCGCTGCAGCATAGGCCTGATAATGGGCTCTTAAGTGTGTTCGGTCAGATTCATCCCGTGATCTCCTCCACCTACGCTCTAGCCATCTCCTGGCCTGCTTCATTGCCCGCAATTCAGATGTATACCAAGGGGAAGAGAGGGCTCTGCCTGGCGGGAGAGGACGCTTAGGAGCGATTGTGTCAACAGCCCTAGTCATCTCCCCATTCCATAGCTTGACCAGAGCCTCGACAGGATCACCAGTCTTGTCAGCCTGAAACTCCCCCAGGGCCTTCAGGAATCCGTCCGGAACCATCGGGCTCCGGGGGCGGACCCACACAATCAGGTCTGCACCCTTACAGAGGGAGAGGCCACTCTTGAGCACAAACCTCACGAGGAAGTGATCTGACCATGACGGGTGTCAGACGTAAATTCCTCACCCTCAGACCACCCTCTTCCTGCCCCGTCGAGAAAACCAGGTCCAGAGTGTGTCCACGTTCATGGGTCAGGCCTGTGACATGTTGAGACAGCCCCATGGCCGTCATGGAGGCCATAAAGTCCTGAGCCACCCCGGTCAGACCAGTCTCGGCATGAAGATTGAAGTCCCCCAGGACCAACATCCTGGGGGTCCTCAACACCAGGTCCGAGACGATCTGTCAGCTCAGGCAGGGAGACTGTTGGGCAGAAGGATGCATGGTACACCAACAGAATCCCCAATCTGTCTCGGTCGCCCAACACCAAGTAGAGGCACTCCAGCCCTGGCCTCGAAGGGACTGGAAGTCCATTGAGGGAGATGGAGGCTCGGTAAACCAAAGCGACCCCCCCCCCTTCCCTCCAGGCATGGACGGTGCTGAACCAGATACCCAGGCGGGCACATTTGAGAGAGGGCGACATCCCCCCCCTCCCGCCCAGGTCTCTGTTATGCAAGCCAGGTCGGTCCCCTCATCCACAATCAAGTCATGGATGAGGGAAGATTTATTGTGGGCCGACCTGGCATTAAGCAGCAGCATCGTCAGGCCCGAGGGGCGGTTGACAAGACTACCTGGAACCCTCTGGCTGGGGGTAGAACCAGAAGGAGGGACAGGTGTCAGCCATCTGTCCCTCCTTCTTCTACGTGGACACGTTAACCCCCACCACTGTAACGTCCATTGCCCGTGACCACCCCAATGGCGGTGCCCACGCGCTCCCCAGGTAACTCAACCGTCGACATGGCCAGGGATGACTCCATAAAAACAAATTAAAATGCAATAAAACTTTAAAACAGTATAAGACTC